AAATTTATCTTGGTTCCGGTTGTTTGCAGAACCCTTCATGGGGACCGGCTTCTCAATTGAGATCCGTCCCTTGATTTCTTTTAGGATAAAATGGTTATCTTTGTTAAACGCATACTTTGGGGAGTATGGTTTGAATTCTTTTTTCTTTTTCTGGGCCGGCTGTTTAGAGGAATCAGCCGCCCAGACCTCTTTTCTCTTCTCATCTTTGTTTGACGACTGTTTCTGTCGTCCTTCTCTTTTGTCGAACCTTTTCCCGTCCGACTGTTTTACCGTACAAAGATCAGTCGCCTGTATATAGGCTTCTGCTTCAATCAAGGCCTCTTGAAGAGTCGCCACCCTCTTTCGAACCAAATCAAATTTGAAGGTAGACCCGTCTTTGAGACCTCTGAAAAAATCAGTATAGGCTACCTCATCCGGTAACCCTTGAATCTGTATTCTCATCAGGTTAAACCGCCTGATGTAAGAACGAAGCCCCTCCTTCTCGCCCTGCTGAATTGTTCCTAAATCAAGGGTCGTTTTCTTCGCAGGGATGTTCATGGCGAAGTTGGAGGTGAATAAGTAAGCAAGCGTCCTGAAGCTATTTACACAACCAGTCGGCAGGTTGCCGAACCATTGTTGTGCGATTCCTTTGAGAGTCGCTGGGAAACACTTGCACCAAGTGGGATCATCCAACCCTTGAAGGTACATCAGGTTGGTGAATGCCATCAGATGGTCTTCTGGGTTAGTAGTGCCGTCATAGGCGCCTACTAGTACATTTTTCACTTTGGCCGGCTGAGCGGCTTCAGTAATTTCCTTGGAGAAGGCCGACGGCTGTTCACCAAGTCTAAGCAACCGTAGCTTCCAGTCCATAGGTTGGACGTTTTTTGCTGCAGGTCCACCAAACGGAGGTGGCTGCAAAAAATACTGTTGTTGCGGCACAAATGGTAAGTTTGGTACCGCTTGGTCGCTATGAAAGCCGGACTGACGGGAGGTGCCGCCTGAGTGACTCTCATGATACGACTGAGTATGCCTCATCGAGGCATTTCGCAGACTGTCTTGAAAGTTTGAAGTAGAGGCCGACTCTGACAATCGGTCACTCTTCTTCTGCTCTAGCAGTAGCCGAGCGTCTGTGAATGTTTGCTTCAACCCGTCCGCCTGAATATGACGAACAGGTTTCCTATTTCCTGTAGGAAAACGGAATTTTGTGAAATCAAGGGCAGGTGGCTCCCGCTTCCTAGATTTAGGATGAGGACTCGCCTCTCGCCCTTGAACTGGCTTCCTCTTCAGTGAAGTGGAGGGTTTCTTAGCCGACTGCTCCTTGACTGGAGCAGGCGGCTTCTTGTTGATCAACTCTTGAATCTCTCCCTTGAAGTTCCTCATGAAGGTCATGAGTTCGTTCCTTGTGATGGGAGCAGACCCATCAGTCGGCTGTTGCCGAACAGGCGGTGCGCCTGCTGGCTCACTTCCAGTTTGAAGATGTTCCCGTTCCCTCCTTTCGGTATGACGGGTACGTCGGGCCCTAAGGGTCCCGTCTGAATCTGTGTGAGCTTCAACTTCAAATTCACTCTCGGTATCATGGTCCGACTGAACTTGAGGGTCGTCTAGGGGACGCCTCTCTTCAGGAGTCGGTACAGACTTGGATGCCATCTCAGAAGTACTCTCCCCACAGACGGCGCCAAATGTTTCGGGGTTTTCTGATGTCCTGCGGGAGAGTTACAATTCCGAGACTGGAACCGGACGCCTGTACCTGCAAAATAACGGAGACTCCTGGTGGTGGGAGCTCCGCCTCCAACGGTCAAGTTAGTACTTGATTAAGGAGTAATTAATGCGGAAATTAAAGTGATTGGGTCTCTCTAGGTGAGAGTGTTTAATGTAGGTAATCAGCTTTGTTAGCGAGATCAGCCGGTTATTACCGTGTGTAATTAATGTGTTTTTTCGTAATCCCCCTTAATGAGGATTAAGGGAGGTATTTATAACCTTGGGAAACGTGCCCATCCTAGGTTTAGGTTAACCTAGGGCTGATTGGGCTTCCCTCGGAAGTTGGGCCTGGGTGGCCGGTTTCTCCATTAGGCATGGAGTATGCCACATGTCATGACATAATAGGTCCAAGGTGGACGAATAAGCGCGTGCCACGTGGCAAGCCCTGACAGTTCCAACTGGGGGACACTTGGCAGGACCTGATTGGCCCACGTGACGCATTCCGATTGGTGGGAGCAAAATCCCCTAATCACAAGGGATTGAATCAAACGACCCAAAATTTTGGGGTAAAAAGTGCTATTAAAGGGATTTATTGCCATTTTACTAAAGTAACATGTTTAATGAGTAGGTGTTCAAAGCCCTGTGATGAGAATGGATCCTAAAATCTCTTGAAATTAGAAGGAAAGCTCTAACCACTTTAGCTATTCCTCACTCTTTAGAGTCTTTTATTTTTTATTTTTTTATTATTCAGAGCATATTTTCAAACTTTCAAATTAATCCTATTAATAATTTTTTTTTCTATATGCCAATAAATTAAACTGATGTATGTGCTGAAGGTTATGTTTTTCTTATAGTAACTTTTATGATTTCTTAGTTTTTACTACTGGTGCGAATTAAGCATCAAAGATCAAGGTTGTCGGTCTAGATTTATTTTCTATAAGATTTAATTATTTTTTCTTATTTATTTTGTTGGTTGAATTTTATTTATCAATTTGTTAGGATTTATTTTATCTTCTAGGTTTGCTTATCCTATCAAGCATGGGATTGTATGCCTATAAATATTTGTTTTCATTAATGAGAACATGGAATGTCTTTGAGTTTATGAAAACATGAAAATTGTAAGTTAGTTCGATTGAATTGATTTCAAAACATTGTTTTTCTTTCGAAAATATCAAAATAAATTTATGTTGCTTTTATTCTTGTTTAAGTCGAGAAGATCAAAACTTTATTGAATTAGTTTTACCCTAATTGCTAGTTATACTTATTGTAGTTTAATCCACATCAAATTGGTATCAGAGCCAAAGGTTTTTGAAAATTTTATCGGTTCATCGGATTTAGAAGTCCTTTATTTTTCATCAGTTTTGAACCGTTTTGAGGGTCAACTTCCAGTGGCTATATCTCCTTTATTACAAAAAGATTTTTCAACAATTCTTTGTTTGATTCCAGGTGTTTTTTTTGTCTAGTTTCACATACAATATTTCAGAAATTTTCAAAAAAAGGTTGATATTCTTCCAATGTGCCAATTTTAAGTCTATTATGTGATTGATAGGTACTGAACGTGTTCTTTGCTATTGTAATTTGTTATTTAATATGGGCGACCAAATTGAGCTTATAACACATATTTGGAATGAATCAATAATTGCAATAAGTAACACAAACATTATTAGAAATTTTGGTTAAGAGCATATGCAAGAGTTTGAAAGAACAAAAGCTCATGAGATCGAGGTGGTTGAATCTAATTCTCTGAACAAGGTTGATAATGTTTCAAATCTACTTGTGCAAGATGAAGAAGAAATAAATCGAGGTGCTAGAATATGAATTAGATTTTTTTTTTCTTTTTTGAAACAAAGATGAATTAGATTTAGCTAGCTTTGTCTTATCCATTAATTGATGCAACCCAAACAATTAATCAAGATGAACAGAAGAATCAAGCTATAAAACATATTTCTATGCAAAAATTAGACTTGGTTGTTCATGATATATCTTTCCTAATTGTTTGAATATGGAAGCAACCACACTAAAAATTGGGATAACTTTTGGTGGAAAGAATGATCTTCAAGAGAATATATTTTCATGTTTGTTCGTTTGATTTGGATGATTTCTTAATTTGAAAAACCTTAATTGGGGCAAGTTTTTTTCAAGAGGAGGAGAATGATGCGGATTAAGCATCGAAGATCAAGGATGTTGGTCCTTTTTTTTTTTTTTTTTTTTTCCTTTAGGATTTATTTTTCCTTATTTATTTGTTGGATTAATTTTATTAATTTGTTAGGATTTAATTTTATCTTCTAGTTTTCAAAAAAATAAAAAATAAAAAAAAAAATCTAGGTTTGCCTTTTTCTATCAGGCATGAGATTGTATGTCAATAAATATTTATTTTCAATAATGAGAACATAGAATGTCTTTGAATTTATGAAAACATGAAAATTGTAATTTAGTTAAATTGAATTGAATTGATTTTAACACGTTGCTTTTCTTTCGAATATTTCAAAATAAATTTACGTTGTTTTTCTTCTTGCTTAAGTCAAAAAGATCAAACTTTATTGAATTAGGCTTACCTTAATTGCTAATAGTCCTTAGTGTGGTTAAATCCACTACATCCTATGTATTATTATATGATTAAAATTAGTACTACGTATTACGAAAAAATTAAAAATTACTGGGATTTGGCATCTTAAACCATGCATCAAGAAATTTTCACAATGACTATGTACTTAAATAAGAGTTTTTACATTATCTCCAAAGAAAAATAAAAAAATAGGGTTTTTACAAGAAGTGTATGGGTGTGCGTCTCTATTAAAGTCTTAAGGCACTAATCTCTTATTGCTTAATGAGAGAAATTTGGCGAGCAAAAGGATCAACACAAATCGAACTCTAACTATTCTGGTTTGGGTCTAGTGTTTACAGGCTAGACACTTAAAAAGGTAAGAAAATCTCTACCCCCAAGTACCCTCATTTGGTAGATTTGATTTGAAGTAACCATCTTATTAATTGAGCTAACACTTTATTGCTAACAAACTTTGGAATAAAGAATGACATATCTTAGATACTTAGCTTTTCCAACCACAGTACTTATTGCGTACAATATTGTTCCTAAGGTCTGCAAAGACTGCATTTGACCTCACGATCAACATGTGACCAATAAGCGCACATTTGATGGATGGTGATTTTCTAATTTTCATGTTAAATAGTACATATGAGTACTTTCATAAAATATTCCGTATTAATCACATCTAGGAAGTTGCAAATATGGAGCAAAGCATTAACTTCATTGAAAGTATTAGTTTAGGTACAACCGTTTAAGTGTAAACATTGGTAGTATTAACTATTAAGTTTATCTGAGTCCTATGTAAGTTATCTATAACACCTAACCCTAACCCTAACCCTAACCTTGTAAATTTGGGTTGATGGTTTGGTTTCGATTGACCTTGTTAGGCTGACATCTTGGGTTAGGTTAGTTCTGATAATTAGCGGGTAGGTACGATTTATCTTTGTATGGTTTTGAATATGGATTGGTTGTAAACTTGTAATTGGTTTGTTTGATGGGCAAAGAAACCCATAGGACTACAGAAGTTCAGTGAACCCGTCCAAAAAAGTCCAAATTTCCATTTACTGTTTAAGCCATAGAAGGAAGAGAAGGGGACACTTCGACTGCAGCAAAAATGGAGTGCGCGGCAAAAGGGCGAGGCACTCGATGCGTTGGCCCAGCAATAAGGCGCTGTGCTCGTTGCGGTGCTGTAGCCTATTGTTCACTCTCTCACCAGGTTTTACATTTCTCTCTCTTCTTAATCATCTTCATCATCAATTTCATCTTCCTGTAATTAGGTTTTTGGTAGTGGGTTGATTCCATAATCTATAACATACCCTTATTTTTTCTGGGTATTTCATGAATTTAGCATTTTGTTACTTTTTATTGTTATAATTTGGGTGTTAGAACTTTTGATGATTTTAAAATTGCGTTGATTGCTTTGATTTTGTATGGTATTAGAACTGCTAATGAGGATTATACACTGTTGTTGTGCAATATTTGGGAGCAAATATAAGAATTCTGAAAAGCCTTTGTTTCAGGAGTTGGGTTTTATTTTTCTAAATTCTATTTCAAGAAGTTAATAAGTGGGTGAGAGAGTAAATTTATATCAAGTATTTTTGAATGAGGATTGAGGGTAGTTAATGGAATCTTGAATACGTATCAAATTGTTTTGGGTGCTCGAATTCGTGGTTGAATTATGAAAGTTAAAAGTATTGGTTTTGGTCATTCGGTGACTTAATCAATCAATCAAGGACTCGTAATGTGGTGCACATTAGGCCGGAAGAAGTATCATCATATGATCACAAGTCTCCAAGTTGGGACTGAAATGAGCAAGAAACATTGTTAATCAGGTCTGCATTATTGCTTATCTGTGGTCCTTTGTGTTTTTTTTGGGTGAATTCTTGTGCACAAAAGGAATTGATGGTCAATAAAGGATGTTTGGTTATTTATAATTATAGGAACTAGGAAGTTATACACACACATATATATTCCTTATGTGGATGATATGTGGAAATGGGTCACACCTCTTAAACACAGCGGTATGTAGGCTTATTGTACTTGAGTATCGGATATGGTATGATTAGAATGTTTTGTTTAGCTCACAAATTCTGCCCGTCTCCTTTAATGCTTCTTGTCTTCAGTAGAATGTTATTACTGATGTGGGAAGATGCTTGAAAACCGATTGGAGATATCATGATCTACAAAGTCTTACATGTAACCATTCGTTATTAGAAAATTGATTTTTTTTTAAAGGTGCATAATTCTATTACATTCATATTTCTAGAGTTTGGGTTTTTATGTTGTGGAAACAGCTGATCTATTATTTCCTGTGTATGTGCACAAGGCACATTATTAGGGTCCAACCTTAACTAAGGACACACACCATGTCCTTGATTTTGACATTCTGCCACTTGTGTTCAGATTTCTCATTGGAGTGATCACGAGCAAGAATGTGAGAGGTTAGAGGTACAAATGAGAGATGCTGATATACTGAACACATTTCCGTTCACATTTTCTGAGGAAGCTACACTTCAGGTACCATGTTTGTGTTTAATAACTGTTATTCTTAAATTACATTACAGTGGCTTTATGAAACTGTACTTGCCTTCTTATCTGTTGTGTTCATTATTGCATGTAGATTTTGAAAGAAAAGGAGAGTAGATGTACATTTTTGTCAAAAAGGAACATACATCAGAGAGGAATTTGGTCATGTGAATGCTCTTGTGGGGTTTCCAACACCAATCATAAGTGCCCAGTGCAAGTTTCATCCCTTTGATCTTATGATTCCTTGAATAGTGTAATTTTCCTTATTTGTGATTGGAACCGTTAAATTTTTCATCACTAAAGTAGTTCAGTTGGATCCCTTTTCATAGGTCAATCAATTGTTGGAACCTTCCAAGCACATTGGTCCCTTGTTCTGGTATTACTTTCTGCTTTTCTCTAGTTCGGAGTACCAGATAGGGTATTTGTCAGTCCAAAACTTGACTGGGTACTGAATGAACTGAAAATCAAAATCCTCACGCTGGCAATGCTTGTCTTAACAAGAATATTAATACTTAAGAATTATTGTTCTTTTCTTTTCTTTTCTTTGTGGTGATAGGGGTAGGTAGAGGAGGGTGATTGACTTAGATGATGGTCGAGGAGTACACTTGTTTAGGTTTGACTCACGAGTTATCATCAGTCTTAATTAGTAATAATTCTCTGGGTTATGTCCACAAGTCTTCCTATTTCTTCATACACTCCTAATTTGGAAAGCAACCACCCTCTTTACATGTTCAATTTTCAAAAATAAGACTAAAATGTTTGTAGTGCAGGCTCTCAAGTTTTATTTATTTTATTTTTTATTTTTTATTTTTTTTTTTAACATTCCAGACTTCCGGTAATCCTTTGCTTTATATTCGCTCCTCAGCAATCCAAAAAGATATCTTCTTTATTTTTTGTTTATTTTTAATTTTTAATTTTTGATCCTAGATTCTGAGCTTCTGGTGCAGACCAAAGCTGTGCTTATTTGAGGTGTAGTCCTGCCAGCAGTTGACACATGTTTTTCTCTTTGGGGGTGACTTTCCAGTCAACACCTTCCCTGAGGCCAAGCTAATGGCAGGTGGCCAGGCCTACATAAGATTCTGAGTCTCTTTCTTGCTGGCTTTTGACCACTAAACAACTTACTCTGACTTAGCTTAAACCCTTTGGATTCCAATCTTTGCCTCCATTACTCCAACTTGGCATTAACCCCATCTTTAGTTTCATCCACCAAAATGATATCATCCGCAAACAACATACGCCATGGAACTTCACCTTGAATTGGTCTTGTTACTTCATCTAAAACCATTGCAAAAAAGGAAAGGGTTTAATGCAAATCCTTGATGCATTCCAATTGTAATAGGAAAATCTTTTTTCAACCCTCCACATGTCCTCACATTTTTTGACACATCCCGATACATCTCCTTAACTAAGTCCACGTATCTTCGTGGATGCCTTTCTTCAACATTGCCCACCAAAGCACCTCTTTTGGTACCTTGTCATATGCCTTTTCTAAATCAATGAAGACCATATGCAGATCCTTTTTCTTTACCCTATAAAACTTCATCATATGTCTTATCAAATGAATTGCTTCCATAGTAGATCTCCCTAGCATAAAACCAAATTGGTTATCCGAAATGCTTGTGCATGCCCTTAACCTATATTTAATCACTTTTTCCCACAACTTCATTGTGTGGTTTATAAGCATGATCCCTCTATAGTCTTAAGCGTCTCCTTTGTTTTTATGGACCGGGACCTAGGTGCTCTTCCTCCAATATTGCAGGATCCTTGTAGCTCTCCATATCTTTGGTAAACTGCTACATGCATTTACGAAATTTGAAGAAGTACTCTTATATTTTTAGCTGTAAGGGGGTATGAAGTGGATTTCTCTAGCCCGTTGGTTATTAATTTTTTTAATTGATTTTTTAACTCTTAATTCCTGTGATATTCACCCCTTCACTACTTTTCTTTCACACTCTCACTCCGTCCTACTAAATATCTTTATATGCGTGTCCAAACCTACTAAATACCTTATATGCGTGTACAAATCTAATAGGCAAATTATTTGTTGACGGAGGGAGTATGTTTTTAGGTGAAGATGGCAGGTCCTTTATGGGATTGGGCTTATCTCAAGATGCCTAGTTGAATGTACATAGGTGCATGTGGTGTGGGGTTAGTTAATGGGGCAGCAAAAACCCGTCCTCTTCCAATATGCCTCTCTACTAAGATTAATGCCTTCTGGATGGTATATGAGGAAAGAATTTAGCATGCAATTTTAAAGTAGTGACTTAAATTGTGTTTAATTGAATTCGAATGTGGGCACGACAAGAGACACTGCATTTTTACCATTGGTTTTACCGCGTCCTATTATTTTAAGCCCTTGAAAATTCATCACTCATGACATGCATTTTAGAAGAATTTCTCTAAAATTCAGTAACAACCTGTTAATCAGCATCAAATGAAGGATCTGAATCTACATCAAAAACACCTGTTAATATGAGAAGTCTCACAGAAATATATGAAGAGACAAATGAAGTTAATGAAGTTGATTTATCTGCTTATATGCAGACCACAAACCCAGTAATTTTGAAGAAGCATTAGGAGAAGAGAAATGGATATCTTCTATGAAAGAGGAGATCTGGTCAATACAGAAAAATGATACATGGGACTATTGGAGTTTGCCACATTGCCAAAGGGCCATAAGGCCATAGGTGTATAATAGGTTTACAAGATAAAAAGAGGTGTAGATGGAAGCATTGAAAGATACAAGGCAAGACATGTAGCAAAAGGATATAAGAATGATGATCTCACTTGCTGCATTGCACATCACGAAGGGAAGATATATCAACTTGATGTTAAGTCAACATTTTTAAATGGAATTTTAGAAGAAAAAGTTTACGTGGAACAATTAGAAGGTTTTGTCATCAAGGGAAAAGAAGATAAAGTGCTTCGTTTGAAAAAGGCACTCTATGGTCTAAAGCAAGCCCCACGAACTTGAAATACACGTTTATACGGATACTTGATTTAAAATGGTTTTATCAAGTGTCCGTATGAACATGCACTTTATGTGAAGATTAATGGTGAAATTATACTCCATAGCTTATATGTTGATGATCTATTATTCACAGTCAAAGTATGTTTGATGATTTCAAAGCGGCAATGTTTAAAGAATTTGAAGTGACAGATTGTGGGCTAATGAACTCTAGTTGTTGTATGTTGGTGATAGAGGTTCGATTGGTGGTTTGGTATGTGTTGCAAACGTGCGACTGTTTGGTGGAAGGAGGTAAGGTTGTGGTGATATATGTTGATGTTGTTGTTGGGAGTATGTGTTGGTGGGGAAAGGGTTTTGATGGGGGACTTCGTTGAGGGTTAGGGGTTTTGCCATTTCGAGCGAGCTCGTGGTGGAAGGCTAAGGTGAGGGTTTCGTCCGAGATGGTGGAGGCAGGGGTGGGATTTACTGGATGTCTGGGTACGGTGTTGGGTTTCCTGCTTGTGGGTGGGGAGCAGGGGTTTCGATTTCAGTTGCGGGTGATTAGGCGATGATGGGTTGGGGAATGGGGATGATGGTTTATTTTATTTTATTTTATTTTTTATTTTTTTATGGGTCATGCTATACATAGCCCTTAGGGCTACATATAAGCCTTAAATACACTCTTGAAAATCGTATATATTAATTCATGACAAAAACATGCGCAAATTAATGTAATTAGTGTGTTTTAATGCTTATATGTAAACTTACCAAATCAATAGAGTAAATAAATCAAATATGAATTGAAATATAGATTTAAAATAAAGTATATCGTTGAAAAGCTTTAGAAGTCTACTTTCCAACCCAATTAGAATCAGATATCTTTTGTAGAATTTAAGATATGATCGAAATGGTGGAACAAGATTTAGATAAAAATTATGAAACACGAAATTCAAAATGGCTCGGTTTGGGCTCGATTTAGTATTTTGGCCATAACTTATTCGTTTTAAGTCGGATTGTCGTTGGAAAGCTTTTTTCAAACCCCATCCAACTAAACAATAATTGGACCAAGATTATGGACCAAAATAATCTGGTTTGGACGTTTTTATGAGTTGGACATGAAATTAATAATTTTGGGTTTAAAGACATAAAATGAATGATTTTGGATTAAAACTTTTTAGGAAAGGCTAAGGGTATGGTCAATGTTTAAGGGAACTTCATGCAACTCTTTAACCAAAGACGTGATAGATACTCATCATTGGGTTTGGTTTTTGGGGAGACACAATCATGTGTCTATTGTTATATATACCTAAAATCTATCTAGTTTCCTAATTACAAATCTTATCTAATTAAGAAATAAAAGATAGAAATAAATAAAAGATACATTATATCTTTTTCCAAAACAAATCTTGTTGGTATTTGGTAAGTTTAGTTTATTTCCTAACATAACTTCCCTTAAACTCAACTTACCATCCACATGTACCACCGAACATTTTTCCTTTTGTTGGGCTTGCAACCCTAACAGATACATCCACTAGGAGCTCATGTACCAACGAGCATGTGTGTGTGTGTGTGCGCGCGCGCGCGCGTGTGTGCGTGCGCGTGCGTGCATGTGTTTGTATGCGTGTGTCTGCGTGCGTGTGCGTGTGTATGTGCGCGCGCGTGTGTGTTTGCGTGTGCGTGCGTGCGTGCGTGCGTGTGTGTCAATCTCTAGTTTGGGCAATAATACCGAACTGTTGAATCTCTAGTTTTGTTTTGGAACTATAATACCCTTGTGTCAATTTTTAAGCTTATTAACTTGTAATGGGACATATGTGATGACATCTGATGCAGATCCTATATCTCCATTGTCAAAACAGTTAAGCTGTTGGAAGGAATACTATGAATGGAGATCCATCTCGTTAGATTCACCTGTTGCTTTGCTGCTTCATTGGGTATGGAGTGTTTTGTTCTTCTATTTATACTCCTTATACAATGAAAGTAATTTAGCTTGTATATGTAGTAGGCCAAATTTTCGTTGGGAAAATGTTATATGTTTCATTTCATTTATGACTTGGGCAAATCTGTAGTATGAAAAGGAACTAAATGTATGAAGATACACATAAAAAGTTATGATGACTTTGGCCAATGTTAGATGTTATTGTGAATAATCATATCCACTTTGAACTCTTGTTTGAAATATATCCTCTAGCCATTTTTCTAAAACTTCCAATTTTAAATTGCCTTTTGACTATTATTAAACTTTGGTAGAAACAATTTTGAGCGGCTGTTATGATAACCGGAGCATCTTATTGGTCATTTTATATATTAAGTTGTTAGTTTTACCAAACATTATTATAAACAACTAATGCTAGCTAAACCAACCTATGTGTTTCCTCCGTTTTCCTTTAAATGCAACACTTTGACTTTTACACTATTTATATATTCCACTTTGACTAGTTTTGATAAATTATAGTTGAGAAAGAAAAAAAATGATTAAAAAGTATGTTGATTTATACTCGTATATATGTTTATGGCTTTAGGGTGGTTGTGGAGCTTGAGTTTCAAATTAAAATGTGTGATAGGGTCATATTATTGTTTCAATTACTTGTGCAACTTTATCTTATAGATAAATATGGATACTAGGTTATCAGGGTTCTTAAAAACATGTGAGCTCTACTGCTAGAAAAATCTGATAATGACTTTGTATTATTATTGTACTGAAAAACATTTGCCTTTATTTTTCTTTTAGTATTTACTTTTTAGTTTGTAATGGTCTTTTTCCAAATATGGATGAAAGGATTTTCCACCCCTGATAAAAGGTCAATATAAAACTATTTTGTACTCCGTACCTTGTTAAAAAGTAATTTCAAAGAATTTGTATATTAAACCATATAAATGTGAATAATGTACAATCTGTAGTCCTAAGTTGACTAATATGCTACTTTTATCCTACTAATAATGTACAATTTGTATATGCTACTTGTGTTTCATTTCCTAAATCCTACTTCCAGCTATTACCCTTTCTTTTAGTTCTGAATCTGTATCTAATTAATTGCATTGAGCTATATATGTTTGAGGTTTGAAATATTATATCTCAGAAGTTCATTGCTCTGTCGAAGAAGATTCAACCAATACATGTCCATTGCTCACACGCTTATCTGCACTCAGTGCTCTTTGGTTAAAATGCAACACATCATTGGTTTACAATTGCATACTGGCAATCTGGTATTGTTGATCTTTCTTGTATTGACCTATGTTTTTTGTTCATGGCAGCCCTTAACAATTTACCATGCTCTCCAACTTAATGATAGTAGAATACGGAGTAGAGATGTTAGTAAACATATCAACATCCATTATCTTGGTATGCATTTGTCTTATGTAAATTATTTGTCTTCATTTTTATCTCAGGACTGCTGAGAAATTTGTAGTTCTGAAATTAAGCACATGTGGTTTGTATGCCACGGGTGCTTTTGTTTTAACCCAAAATCTAAGAGTAGGAATATGATTTAATGTTGCAAACTGTTTAGGCAGTCTGGTGCTTTGGTCCTTGTATTAAATGTGTGCAAAGGGACAATGTGAACCTGTTCTATTTGAAATAACTAGAGCATACCCGTGCTTTAGTACTGTTTTTGTTATTATTATTATTTTTATTATTTTTCAAATATGATTAGAACTGTTTTTTTAGGGAATGTGATTTGTGTATTGTATATATTTGAATATGAGGATAATAGTGGAAGTTATGATGAGAATTGATGTTAATTAAATGAAATAAAATTAAATAGAGATTTTAATAAGATTTGAGTATTAAGGGTATGTACACTGTTGTAAAAGTTAGAAAATTGACTCAGCAATTATTATATAGATGACAATAATGAATTCTATTCTTCACTACTATCCATTTTTGCTTTGATGGTGCTGTGTTCCATTGCTAATAGTTTAGGGAAGCTTGTCTTTAAATCTTTTGGGTGTGTGTGTGTGTGTGTGTTTTTTTTTTTTTTCTCCTAACAGTTCTCTTCCCAGATTTGTTGAGAAATCTGCACTTTGCCTTTACTTTCATTAATAGCAGACTGCACTTAAAATGAAATAAACCTGTTACCTTCCTCTGGCATGCTATGAGTATTTCTCTGGATATTTATGAATTTCAGTAGCAGTGCAGCGACATTAGGTTTATTTTCTATTATCTTATGTCACCGCAACACTTATAGAGGATGTCTGTGATTGGTCATGTTCTTAGCTATAAATATCTTGTGAGAGAAACATGGAGATTGGTGTTTAAAAAGATGATGCTGTGATATTGGCTTTTTAGCTATTCTGATTTCTTGAAGCAACTTCACGGCACTTCAACATCCACGGTTGCTATTTGTCTTTACCTAGATATAGCCAACTTCACAGCACTTCAATTTTAGTAGCCTGTTCTTTGCTGTCGTGTTTATCAATTTTACAGCACTTCAGTCATTGTTGAAATTAGCTTTTTCCACTGGGGGAGTTTTTCTTGCATTGGCTGTTTATTATTTCATATGGGGATATTTTGTTTTGGTATTATTTCTATTAATTTGTGTTTGTTTCTATATCAAAAAAAAAAAAAAAAATGGTGTGTTTGTTTCATATTTTGTACATTTTGGTCAAGCTTTTGCTTAGTCTTTGTCAGCCTTAATTCCTTATGGTTTTAGGTGTCTTAGGCTCTCGGGATATGTTTCTGTCTGCGAGATTTATCAGCTGCTTTCTGCACCGTTTTAAGGGCTATAGGAAGATCTATTCAGCTGGTCTTGGGTTATATAGATTTGTATGCCACTGTAGGACTAGGGACTAGGGTTCATGGTGCTCTATTTTATCATGATTTGTCTCTCGGGAGTTCCATTCCAAAGGATGATTTAGATAGGCTTTTGTTTTGTAAGTTCCTCCTGGTTTTTTTTTTTTTTTTTTTTTTTTCCATGAAAAGATTAGTAATTGAATGCTAGAGTGGTTTTACTGATCCAATGTATATTTACCAAATCCAACATTCCAACTGTGTGCCTCCTAATGAGTGAGATTGAGTGTCCTTTAGAAGCATAATAAGCAATGTTGAATCGTGGATTTATTATTGATAACCAGTAGTTGTGTATTGCCTAATAGTTTTTATTTGCTGCCACTTGTAGAAACAATGCACTTGCTTGCAATTGTCTATAAGTCTATTTGTACTTTTTTGTTTGATTCTCTAGCAATTGTATAATGATGGCAATTATTTGTTTTACTTCTTAACTCCTTTTGCTTTAACTTATTCTTTGATTTATGGCATTCTTCAGGACCTGATAAGGAGCTTATTCAACTTGCTGTCTTTGGGGAATTGCTTGCGCTTCTCCCGGACTATGACGTACGTATAGATTTTGTTGGACCGGCAATTCCAGAGTATAGGTCAGTGACTTCTTAGTTGCAGCTTTAAGTTAGGCCTAGGACTGGAGACAAATATTTTTCAGGCTAATTTCAGTTGAGGGGGCTTTGGAAAAGTTTAAGGTCAACCTCCGTCATTAAGATCGGATAGATGAATGTGTAGTGGTTAGCTGCCCTTGAAATGCTTGATATCCAAAATGTATTCTCTAGGTTGCTTGTTTGTCAAACTTAAGATGCTTGTGGGTTGTGACAACAAAGTTTCATATGTGCAACTGTATGAATTTGTATTGCTTGCATAGTTTAACATTCGGATGGTGTTAGGGATTCAAGACAAGAGATTATTATTTAATTTCATCTAGTCATGCCATGTTTTCAACTGCCCCCACTGGTCTTAATATGTGTTCAATTGCCCCCCTATATGCTCTCTACTTACCAGGCAGTCGATGCAGAGCTTTAGTTTTCTAATTTCTGCCTAACACTTCATGTTGAGTGTGACTGTTTGCAGCATGTATTTTCCATCTGTCTCCAAATATATGTGGGTTCCTGTTTCTAACTTCTTTTGCCTTTGGATCAGCAGGGATGGTGAAAAGACTTATCTCCATAGCTATGTGTGTTGTGATGATAGAGATTGCGAGTGCAAGTATCCTAGTGAGGCTAGTTGTGGTAGTGTGGTGACGTTGCAGCTTCTTAAAGGTTTTTATCATGATAGGTTTAAAGATCTAATGAAGGTCTTAACTCCCACTGTCTACCCACTTATATGTATATGACTTATCAGCATATAGAAACATAATACTTAGGGTGTATTTTAGATGCGGGGTTCATGGCTAACTGTATTATTTTCACACACTGTCTGAAATAACCTACTTAAAATATCACTTTTTTTTTTTTTTTTCATTTTTATTTTTTTTATGGAAGTTAATTGTATGCATGGTAAAATGACTTGAATAGATGTTATGACTTATCAGCATATAGAAAGATAATACTTAAATAAAACTAAGCTTGATAAGATTTATTTATTTATTTATTTAATTTTTTTTTTTTTTTTTTTTTTTTTTTTTTAATAATCTTAATCTTCAAGGCACTGCTCCTGAATTTTTCACTTCTTGATCTTCAGGATTCCTTTCCACATCTGATCATCGCCCCAAATGCTGGAGTTGCAGCTTATCCAAGCTGGATGGAAACAGTTGTAAGGCTTATACTACAAGAATCTCTTTATATCCTGGAATTTTCCTACGAAGAGCCTTCTTTGAGATAATATGCAATTTTTAATATGGTTTAATATCTTACGTGAGTTTCTCAGGAGTTGATTCATGGGCTGAATACTCCAGCTGTTTTTACCGACTTCTGTGAAGAAGCTGCTCATCTAGCTGCTTGCTGTCTGAGCAGCGCAACAGGCTGCAAGCTGGCACTTCCTGTAAGTACGCTTGCTCATCCTTCTTCCAAAGAGTCAAACATTTGACACTCGTTTTTTGTATTTTCAGGTCCAGTTAAATCCATTTAGGCAACCAATAGCTGTAGAAGAGACTGCATTGCATGTCCCTTGCTATTCCAATTGCTTCCTGTTTGGGATATAAAATGGTACCATCGAAAGTGAAGCCTTGAGAGAAAAGAAGGAAAGAAGAGAACTCATTATGTGGAACCGAAAGACCAAGAGGAATTGGGTTGATTAAGGCATTTGGATTGTGTTTCTCATGTTCATTCTGTTGATTATTCCCTATTTCAGGAAATAATGCACAGTGAGTTCATTCCATTGCTGTTGACTGCTGAGTTTGGGGTTGTGAATGTCATGGTAAAGTGTGATTACATAGTGTGGCTGATGCTGTTAACAAGAAGAGTTGATATATGCTGCTGCAACTATACACTTTCCTAGTGTTTTTGTTGTCGGAAGGGGCATGGGTTCCCCACAAGTGAGCTGTTGGTGGGAAACTGGTAGGAGAACTAGCTTGTGATTTCCCCTTGTGGTGTACCATCTTACGAACTTGATTGAATTAATGATACTAGCTAATTGCCTCGTCAAGGTTGCTCTCAACTAGAGAAAGGCACAGTGCTAAGGTCAAGGATATTGTTTCATCATGTCAAGAATATAGTCATGATGTAGATTCATTTCTTATTAAGCATCATAATTATAATCCCTGTGAATAATGACTTGAGCAAGCAAGCCGATAGATTTTATAATATATGTCCAATTTTGTGCTTTTAGTTCAAGATTTAAAAGCTGAAATAGGAAGATTTGGAGCTGGGGTCTAAAGAAAACCTGATTGAAAGTTAATTCACATCTGCATGTCTCACTTTGTCACGAAAAAGTTATGTTACATTACATATATTTTGCCTTATTGTTGATCTAAATAGTCTAGGAAGTCTTTTATGCGCAGCAACCAATCCCCAATGATTGTAAGACTCACAATTGGTGGAATTTATTATTATTATTATACGTGAAATTATTATTATTATTATTATTATTATTATTATTATTATTATTATTATTATTATTATTATTATTATTATTATTATTATATCTCAAAAACAAAAGTCATACAACCTACAATAAATTAGTGGAAAGCCGAGATACAATCTGGGCCCCCACTCCTCTAGCTATAGCAAATCATACCCTAGTGAAGATATGAGCTGCAGCACGAGCCCCAATGTCTTGCGTCGTCGAGAACCTCTGAAATCACATGACATTGAGCTTCATACTTAACCCGCTTCCGATGAACAGCATCAGCCACAACCTGCCCAGGAATAAAGTTATTATTATTATTATTATTATTGTTATTGTTATCGATCATTATCATTATTATTATTTTTGTTTTTTTAAGAGAGCCACAAGGGCAAGGGATGATAATCGATTCTATGATCACCTGAAACCGAAAGAAGAGCTCTAACCACTCAAGCTATCCCTCACTCTCAAATGTTTTTTTTTAACAAGTACATAATTGATTATTTGATTTGGCATTATATTAGAGATTTTCTTCGTGATAACATGGACCACAACCTAAAAGTTCATGCTCAAAAGAATTTAGTAAAATGTCTTAGGTTATTGTTCTGAGTTTTGCTCCGTTTATTTTATTTTTTTTTTTTATTTTTTTTAGGGTCAATTACTCCCAATTATACATAAGTGAAGGGACTCGAATTTGTAACCTTTAAATCATACATCGGAAGAGGTGATTTTATCTAATAATAATAGGCATTCGGCATTTATAATCCCTTAAGTGATCTAAATCCTCAATACAAGTATTTTACACCTCTAAACTAATGGCATTGCTTTTGAACACCTCCTGAATAATTTTAGATGTCTTTGCGTTATTCTTGACGGAGCTCCATTGATGTATAGTTGCGAAAGTGGTAAAACTTTTTGGTCATCAAGATCATCAAATTTGCAAGACGAATCTACTAAATTTGCACCCTAAACTAATAAACCCGCAATTCCACAATTTTTTAAGATGAATATACCAAACTTGTATCCCTACCAACACGAAAAATAAACAAACGAACAATACTAATAATTTTACCACTAGGGAACCGACTAGACCCTACATAGAAGGACTGACTATAATAACTATACTATTGGTGTCTTTATTGGCTAAATTCATTGAATTAAAGAAGAATTTGGGGCTCACCATCGATAAAAATTGATGATAGCCCATAAGATTTACTATGATGGCTAGGTTTGAAGAGAGAGAAGATAGGTCACCAAAGCATATAATCATATAACTAATATATAAAGCTAAACTTTTAACCAGGCCACGAGACAACAACACTTGGCGTTCCAACTTTTCGCCAGCTGTCGTGTCACGTTGGATGTATTTAAATAGACTTCATAAGATAAAAATGTTAGTTTAGAATTCTATTTGAATAGAATATCAGGATAAAGTTGTTGGTTTAGAGTTTTATTTTCAATAAAATACCAATGTTACAGATGTACAAATTGAATTATAATTTTATTCAAAAAAATTATTAGATTATAATTCTAAAGAAGTATGATATAAATTTTTTTTATGTCATAATATTTTTTGGAACGGAGGAAGTAGTTTAAAGCGTAAAACATCCATTTATAATATATACTAATCGGTTAAAATAATATACTTCATAATCTAATAGAATTTTACTATTATGTAGACCTGTCAATTAGTGTCGGATCATAAGTCATCTCGGATTGGGCCACTTCAGGTTACGAGTCAATAAATGTTTAACCCTTGCCAAAGTTTTGGGTTCGGGTCAACCCAACGGGTTTTGAACATTTATTTTATCATTTATTTTTTACTAATTTTTTTAATGTATTAAATCGAACCTTTCCACCAACATTAGTATTAGTCATTACATGTCTACTAGATAGAAAATTGTCACAAAAGCACATCAATTCCTAACTAATTTTGTATCAATGATATATATTTTAAATTTGATGTATAGATTAAAAATTTATATTAAAATTCAATAAAAAAAAACCCGGGTATCGTATGGTGTACAAAACTAGTATATATAAAAAGCAAAATTTTGATGTTATTATTGAAAAAAATACCCTAAAAATTTCTCTATTCTCTCTCGCCAAACCTAGCCACCATAGTAAAACTTAGGGCTGCCATCGAATTTTATCGATGGTAACCCAAATTCTTCTTCATTATAATATTTATAGTCAATAAACATCACCAACAAAATGAAGATTATAGTCAGTCACTCAATGTAAGATTTAGTCAGTTCCCTAATTGTGGGATGTTTAGTATTGTTTGTTTGTTTTTTCTTTTGCAGGGATATAAATTTGGAAGATTCGTCTTGCAAATTTGTGGAATTGTGGGTTTGTTGGTATAGGGGTGCAGATTTAGAATATTTGTCTAACAAATTTGTAGATCTTGATGGCCAATCAAGTTTTATTATTTTTGCGACAATACATCAATGGAGCTCTATTAAGAACGATGCAAAGACATTTAAAATTATTCAGGAGAAGTTCAGAAGTGATACCATTAGTTTAGGGGTGTTTAATTCTTGTGTTGAGAATTTAGATCTCTTAAGGGATGATTGTAAGTTACGAAGGACTATTATTATTAAATGAAATCACTCCTCCTTATTCCATTCAATAATGAAATCACTCCTCCCTATTCATTAAAAAAAATTAAATAAATGCATGTATATGTTGTGTACAAAAATGAACATATTTATGATAACGTGAAACTTTTTTTTTTTTAGTATTTTTTTATAATAGGAAACTGAAAAATCAACAATTCAACAAACAATAAAACGAATTTATTTTGGGGATGAAGGTTGCATAATGATGTAGGCTAAATTTTGTTGCTCTTGTAGACTTGTACCATATTGGGTTCTTTATCACATGTCGTGTATTGTTTACAGCCATGCTACCTACGAGTGTTGTTTAAGCACGCTATTTTTTACAGCATGCTTAAACATCACTCATGCCTGACCCATGCCTAACTCCAATCATAACATATCTATTCATATACAAAGTGTACATGTACCCAATCGACCCAACTTAAAACATATTAAAAAAAACAAAATCAAATTTCTACTTATATGAACAATTATTTAATATAACTCAAATTAAAACAGACCCAACTTAACCCGAATTTACTGAACTCAATACTCAAATTGACACCCTACATAAGTAGGTTTTTTTTTTTTTTTTTTTTTTTTTTTTGGGAAATTCTCACTGGTAACACCAAACTTTTATTTTTTGACATTGTTAAAATTAAAATGCAAAATTTTGGATTTTCATTTGGTAATCACCAATTAGTGATACTAATACATTGATAACATTAATGAAACTTTTACTTAAAATTATACCTTAATCACGGTTAACATGTTAAGTGGGAAATAATCTGTGAAATGACTTAATTGCCTCTATTTATTTCCATTAACCACTTATGTCTAATCAAATAACTTCAACGCTTCATATTCCTCTTCACTCCTCATTTCGAACTTCATTAGAGAAATTCATGGGAAAATTTTCACGGCAAAAATACTACACAAATTACTAGGGTTTGCAAACATTTTCTAGGATTATATTGGGAGCGATTCTCATCGGGTTTTTTGGGGATTCACTGGGTTATTGAAGCAAAATATATCAGTGAATGGTATCCAGTTAGCAGATACAAGCTGACATATGTTAACAACATCAAGTCTATCCCTTACCAAGAATAGTGGCCTGAGAGTAATCACCCACAACTAGCCCCACTAATAATGAAAAGGGGAATTAGAAGTTCTTCCGGAAATAGAAGAAGGAGAGCAGGCTAAGGAAAAGAGATCAAAGATTGTCAAATGCAGCAAATGTCAGTGTTTTGGACATAATTCACAAACATGCTAGGGAGTTAACCAGGAAAGAAAAGGCAGCAACATCAAGTGCAACAACAGTCATCAACAAGATAAGAGAAAACAACCAACAAAGGGGGTGTCTTTATCACACCTGAACCCACTACAATTACATTAGAGCCACCTAGAGTTTCAGAGAGAGCTAAGAAGGGTGTTTCATCATCTCAACCATTTTTTTTGACACAAACCAAAACATAGCCATTTATTAATCAATTAAGTTTGTAAGGTCATTACAAATAGCCTCTTGGATCTCAAGAGGGTGCTCTTCCAACCAAATACGATTCTCATCGAACTTACAACTTATGTTAGCTAGGCTATGCGCGGCACCATTTCCGAATCTTTTAACGAAAGAGAAAGACAAAGACTGGCAGTCGCTAGTGAGTCACAGAATGTCCCACACCAGGTTACCAAAGGTATTAGGAGGAGTAATACCCTTCTTCAAATGATGAAAAAGCTTGAGATTATCTGTCTCTAGCACTAAGTCTCTGAAACCAACTTCTCTTGCATACAAAATACTTTGTCTCATTGCCATTGCCTCCCCCACATCCACCTCAAAATACCCCTCACACACGAACAACAGGCCATCAAAACATCTCCCACTTCATCCCTCAACACCCCCCGGCCAATACCAAGTTGTTGCTGTTGTCCAAAAAAGCCGCGTCTGTGTTCAGTTTATAGACTCCAATAGCAGGGGCCTTCCAAAGCGAGCTGAACTGTTGCAGAGGTTGTTCAATTGAAGCCTTTTCCAATGCCTTTTCATACTCCCCAACTAAACATATTGCCTTGTGAATGACTTCAGAAACAATTTTTCTTTTCTTTTCAAACACCCACGCGTTACGGTTCAACCAAATGTTCCACCAGGACTGCTCTTTAATTTTTCCTCTCATCACGCTACACCAATCCCTAAAATCTCCGAAACCCCCCATTTGAGTGTCAAGACGCAGCGCTGAGTACCTCC